TCTCTATAGCTTCAATGTCACTTTATAGATCCAGATCAGTCAGATTGATTCAAAGTTTTCTATCTAAGGAAAACCAGCTGATTGCATCGACTCATTGACTCTTCAGCAATCCCTCACACTAAGCATGCTTGTAGCGACAGTGGAGAGGAAAAACTCCCTTTGAACAGGAAGAAACCTCCAGCAGAACCAGGCTCAGTGTGAGCAGCCATCTGCTGAGGCCAACTGGGGTTCAAGGAGACAGAAGCAGACATAGAAAAAGAAGCATAGATACAAAAGGCAACTGTAAAAAGAAACACACAGCCAGGCAGACGAGCTCCGAGCCAGCTCCCATGTCAGAGGATGAAGAGAGCACATCCAGCCAGTCACAGTCAGAGAAACAGGACTACACTGGAAAACAGGCCAATCTCCAACATCTAGAAACAAAGGTGTTGATGGCAGCAGCACAGCTGATATTTCTCTCCAGGATGGTATCTGCATGATATTTGATCACCAGCGCCCTCTAATGACTTTAGGAGAAGTTGAACCAATGATGTGGGCTTTATTCAACATTTGAATGTAGAATAAACATAGAAAAAAACAAACTAGAAATTAGACTTACTACGAAAAAGGAAAACTTTTAAACCTCCTCTGCATCAACGTGTAGAAATTTACTTCTGAAACCCAGACCAACAAAAAAATGCATATATTCTAAACAAAACCAATGGCGAGTTATCTATTGCACTATTGCAATAGAAGTTTGTTACAAATCATCTTTAAATGCACAACATCCTAACATTATCTGTATCACCTTGTTCTCGCAGGATCCTGTTAAGGGGAAATTTATCCAGAGGTCATTGGGTGAGAGGTAAGATAAGACCAGTGGCAGTTCTAGACCAAATGGAACAGGGGGCCAGGAGGGGGCCAGCATGTTTTCATGGGGGCCCAAAAAATCATGAAATAAAAAAAACAGGGCAAGAGATTCAAATATATTAACTTAGCTGCATGAAGTGAAAATTCTATTCAGTTAGGTTTAATTAAAATGTATGTCTTATTAGGTCAATATACATTCATAATTTAGGAATTTTACATATTTTTTTAAACTAAATTCAAGTCAAAATAACGCCTTCCAAAAAAACCGAAATAAAAACCAAAAAAAAACGAAAAAACGAATTTTTTTTGTTTTGATAAAAAATAAAGCAGATGAAAACTGTGATCCTATCTCAATACCGCTGAAAATATCACCTTATTGTTTTTAAATAATTAGTAAAACAGAATTTGTAAACCTGTCAGTGACTATGTCTGTTCCAGTGCATATCATCATTAGAATGTATTATGTATTATTATTTAGTATTATGTCTTCAGTACAGGGGCCATAACAGGGGCCAGAATGTGATCTACAGGGGCACTGGCCCCAGTTGGCTCCTGTCTAGAGCCGCCCATAGATAAAACAACTATGCTCCCACCAAGGACATTTATATTTGTGGACAAGCCCCATCCTCACCTTCAAACTTACTTCTGAGTTTTGCACCACTACCTAGATTATCTTCCAGCACATCAAAAATAAATACATTTTAGAATGATGTATTAGACCACAGAAGTAACTTTCTGAAGGACAGGGGACATGTCCCCACCACCTTTGGCCTGGAGGGGACATGTCCCCACCATGTCCCCACCATTAATCAAGTGAGAATGCATTAATGCATTCTTTTCGTTTTTCCGTCTCTAAGTAGTCCCGCATACTTCAGCCGATTTCTACAATTTTGGTATCAAAACCTTCAGCTTCTTTTGGAGGGTTATGCTATGTTTTTTGGTAATTTCAATTATTATAATTTTTGAAATATTAAGCTGTTTCTGGCCCAGATAAATGAATGCAAAACCTTAAAAAAATCCCACTAAAAGTTCAGCTACTTTGCCCTTTTTTGTTTCCAAGTTTAGCTTATTTCTGTATTATCTTTCTGTCCATATTTTACATTACTTCAACTTTTCAACACTTTAATCAAGTTTCTTATGTAGCTCTAAGCTGCTCATTCAATACCACATTCTTCAACATTTTAACCAAACCTTTATTTCTTCAACCAGATAAGATTCAAGTTTTTCTTTTATGATTCTGATAATTTAATACATTTCAGCATATATTTTCAAAACTGGCTTAATTCAGCAATCTTTCTGGACAAGCATTAAGCTTTTCTGTTTACTGCTAATTCATAACATGCCCGACATGTTTCTACTTTTTTCAACAAAGAAATTAAGCATTTATTTTCTAGTTCATGTCATTTCAGTGGTTTCTGCCATTTTGAGCTTACAGTTTAGCGTACAGCATTTTTCTAGTTTCAATAGACTTTAGCTCTCAACAATATGTGGGACAAATTTCTAAATTTGATTTTGCTGATTTTGAAGGAGGATAATCCCTGATGTAGCTGAAAGGAAAAACATCCAATCAATCAATCCACATTTTTCTGGTTGGACGGATGAATAAAACTGAAATTGTGTGCATATTAGGGAGGCATTATATTGCTGTTGGCATCAGAGTCGGCTGTTATTCATCCTTTTTTTTAATATAAATTAATGTATAACTATCCATAAATATAAATATCAGTTTATTTTGGTTCTATTGTTCTATTGTGTTCTTAACAATAGGAAAGCATTCAATAAATATATGTTTGAGCTCAATTTTGGAAAATACAAAAACCTAATCAAAGCGTTTGGGTGGAGTAACTGTACATCCATCAGCCCCCACCCCTAGAGTGTCCCCACCAACTTTCATTACAAAGTTACACCCTTGTACTAGACTATTGAATCCTGTTATCATTTTTTTATTACATTGGAAACACATGAAATACATTGTTTTATGTTTTCAAAGCAATGCAGTAAATACATTTGAGAAATTCAATCAAAATAGGAATTAATTGTACGGTAAAACGTGAATAATTGTATTTTCTGACTATTTCCTGCCAGGTTGTGGTCGGAAAATGTAGATCTCTCTTATATCATATATTGATTAATGCTATTTACTCACTGAAAAAAAAAAGTTTTCACTCATTCAGTTTCACCTGCAAGGCCAAACAATGCCTGAGTGAGGAGTGTTTACATGGAAAACATACGTATTCCCATAACAAGCCAAATTCTTTCTTAAAGTTTGTTATTGTTTAACCAATGTGTGCGTAATTTGTTTTGGCTCTGACACAGCTCTTCACAGCTTTTTCATCATTATAAGAAATGGAGACAAATTGTCTAGATCAGAACGGGGCTGATTACCATTCCCTCTTTGCAAAAATAAAATAAAATGCCAACTCAGTGAAATCCGTCGATCTCTGTTTATTTAACTGGAGTGAACAGGTTTATACTTATTCCCAACATCACAGGTCCATCGATCAGAATATTTATGACTGACTTGCTCATAGCAGTAATGATGTATGATGGTGAATGTAGGATGGGCAGATAAAATAAATGCAGTCTTTATTCCATGACGATGTAAAATAACTTAGAAATAT